CCTGGGATCGAACCCAGGGCTGTAGTTACACCTCAAGCACTGCGATGCAGTGCCTTAGACCGCTGCGCCACTCGGGAGGCCCTCGTCTCCCCTTTACTTATCTGTCTCTTTCTCTCTACTGTATACATTTTTTTGCACTGGGCACACATTAATGTAGAAGCAAAACATTTAATTGAGTAATTTGTTGTTGCCCCTCTGCCTGGAAAAGTGTCTATAGAGTATCACATGCGTGGGATACCTTTTACCTTTACTTTGATGGCGAGAGGTGTTGTACAGAGTGTACTGGGGAACTGATAACCACAGAATGTTCCATTGGGCCTTAGCAACACCTGCACAACGTCTCTCACCATCAAAACCCTTGGCAACAGTGCCAACCAGACCACTCCCTCACCTCAACAAACCCTGGTCTACAATAGCCAATAGACACAACACTGGTGGTGTACTACACTGTTATGGCAGCCAGAGTGGATTCGAATGAAGTAGTATCCAATACAGCTATTTGTCATGCAGAGTTTATAAAGGGAATCAAACAGCTCCTTGTGCTCTTTAATTGGGGTGGGGTGGAGTAAACTCTAGTGCCTGAAGCCAAACAGCGGGGTGGCGTATACCCAAAGCACTCATAACGTACAGTAAATATAAACACATGCGCTACCCAAGCCCATGTGGCACGGTGAAAGAGAGCCCTTGTCCTGGGTCTGATGACTGTAACTTCTTCCTCCCAGTGCTACCCCCAGAACACGTGGATGGTGGGTATTGCATGCAAGCATGCTGTTGCAGGGAAGGGCGTTAATTGAGGCAAGCCAGCTCTTCAAACTGCTTCGATCAATGGCAGCTGGGGGGGATAATGTATTTGCTTTAGTGAAGTTCACTACTCAATACAACACAGTTTTGTATTCTACATCTGCATCTCAGCACAGCACAGTCTGTCTTCTACATTACAATATATCACTTTACACTCTATGCCACCATCAATTCATAAAAAATATGTCTCTGGTTTTCCTCAAATATGAACTGTACGCTGTAATTTTAAAAACATAAACTCCCTCTTTATGTGCATGTCATTGATTTGTTTATGAAAACAGCCATTGTTCTCTGAAGTGTCGAGGCCGGCCAAACCGCTGAACGGTTTCAAAGTGGAAGTCATTGTTCTGTGAATGCAATGAATTAAATCCAGAAGCACTGACCAGTCATGTAACACAGAGTAGAGCACCCCTCCCACTGAGTGTAGGCTAACCATTACTCTGAGAAAGATGGATGGTTAGCTATAATTTTCTCCGGTAATTCCAGACACCATCTGGCAAGGTTCTTGCAGTTTGATAATCCTCACAGAATTCAATTTGGAGGTCCTTGATCATACTGTAGACATAGACGGCACCTCTGGCCAAGAACAACCAGGCCTGTCTGGGTCTGTTGCCGTTGCAGGGCAGGTCTGTACAGTACCTGGTTAGACTGACTCTCCTCATTGGCTCTGACTCACAGGGAGACGGTGAGCTTTGGGTCATGTGTCATAAAGTAGTCGGTCGGTTCAGGCAGGGGAAACTGGTGAAACTGAAGGCTTGTGGGTCTCTGAATCTGACACAGTGAGTATTTCTCCATGGTTGCTCCAGCCTGCCTGCAGTAGACCAGGCAGCCATCCAGTCAGCCAGGCCCAGATGTGAAAGCACTCTTTTTATAAGAGACTTTCTCTCCATGTCTGACTTTTCTGCCTGGAGGATTCCCTCAAAGCTTCTTTGCTCTCAGCCATAACTCATGGTGGTTGGGAAATACTGTGCTGACACAGACATACGCCATGCAGATACTCTTGCTGTAGTGTGAACACAAGCACGCAAGTTGACACACAACTCCACATGTTTTAATTTTTGTTGAAAAGGGTAAAATTATTCTTCATTACTTATGGTCCTCATTAAAATGTCAGAAGTGCAAATGATTCTGGTGACTATCCTTAATCTATCAATCTTGGCCTGGAAATGCAAATCCAAACAAAATCCATCTCCATTTTCAGACATTTACATAATGTTGTGTTTTGAAACTTCAGCCGCTAAAATCAATTTGAAAACAAATTCAGGGGCAAAACCTTGAGAAATTGACGGCTAAGCGATTAATAATTTCCCCAAGCGGTACTGAGGCTAATCAAAGAGCCCATCTCTGGGCAGGCTGAGGCTGGAGAGAAGCAAGGTCAGATTGAGGTAGTTTCAGATTACAGCCTGACGTCTGGGAGCTCTGAGGGCTGTAGTGTAATCTCCTATAAGGCTCTCCATGCTCTACACCAGTGGTATTCAAACTTTTTCAGCGGGGACCCCCATTTCTTGTGATCCCACACCAAATCTAATGACACGTTAAAATCGATAAATTGACATTTTTACATCAACAAATAACCTTCAACTCATTGCATTTTAATCTCTTATTAAAATGAAAAGAAACCAATAAATACATTTACTCAATAAAAGTGTATTTTTCAAATGATCTTTCTTAAAAATGTTTGTATATTGTCGTTGTCGTCCCCCCCACCCAAAAAATAAAAAGGTTACAAAACACAATAAAATTGCTGACCCCACTGCAGTTCTCCTGCGACCCCGACTTTGAATACTACTGCTCTACACTGTAACCACAGGTGACAATTGCATTGATGTTATCTATGGTCCCTCTAACTGTGCTGAGACAGAGTGGACAGGTGCTCCGAGGCAGGACTGTGTCGTCATAATGAGCTGCTGTTTTTATTATGTGGCTGGAGTGGTTCTGAGAAGCAGGTAAATGTCAGTGGGCCTCTCTACAGGGACACAGGGAATCCCTCCTGTATGAGTCACAGAGTACAAAACTCTCTTACCCCTGTGTACACACACATGCGTGCTGACATACACAAAGTCATGCACATACACTTGCACGCACGCACGCACAAACAACCTATTGGCTAGTTATTCTCTACAGTAGGAGAAATTCTGAATTCTCAAAATTCTGGGCGTTGTTTATTGGAATATTCATAGGAGAATTGTCCATTGGTAAAATGCGTAAACCCTCTGTGGCAGGATTTATGAGATGGATCGTTAAACAGTTTTTAGACCTCGGCCTTGGCATGGACAAAAAAATAATAAAAACATTACAATTAAAACAATATAAAAGAACATGCGCTACAATTTCATTTCCTTATATTGTATAGAGACAGGCAGTGGTGGAAAAAGTACCCAATTCTCATACTTGAGTAAAATTATAGATACCTTAATAGAAAGTTACTCAAGTAAAAGTGAAAGCCAGCCAGTAAAATACTACTTGAGTAAAAGTCTAAAAGTATTTGGTTTTAAATATACTTAAGTATCAAAAGTAAATGTAATTGCAAAAATATACTTAAGTATCAAAATGTAAAAGTATAAATAATTGTCTTGTTTTTAAAATGTATGGATAGCCAGGGGCACATGCCAACACTCAGACATTATTTACAAAATATGCATTTTATGTTTAGTGGGTCCATCAGGCCAGAGGCAGTAGGGATGACCACGTGTTCTCTTAATAAGTGCTTACATTTGACAATTTCCCTGTCCTGCTAAGCATTCAAAATGTAACGAGTACTTTTGGTTGTCAGGGAAAATGTATGGAGTAAAAAGTACAATACTTTCATTAGGAATGTAGTGAAGTAAAAGTAAAAGTTGTCAAAAATATAAATAGTAAAGTAAAGTACAGATACCCAAAAAACTACTTAAGTAGTACTTTAAAGTATTTTTACTTAAGTACTTTACACCAATGGAGACAGGGCAATAGCTGAACTGAAGATCCACATGGTATTCCACAGCACACAGTGTTAATGAATTGGGATATTAAGGCTGAAAGGGAGACTCAATGGAGGGAGGGAGGCAGAGGAGAGAGAGAGAGGGAGAGAAGGGGTGGAAGGCTGGCTTAAGGGTGTTTCCATGGTAGGATTGCCCAGGAATCCTAATTCTAGTGCCAGACGTAGGGAAACCCTCATCAAAAACAAGGGAGCATCAACGCCAGCTCAGAGGCTGCGCTAGGCCCTAAAGACAGTCTGCTAAACCTCAACAGATCAGAGGGAGCCACTGATCTTCTTCAAACTGACACAAAACTATAAACCAAAAAGGGAGTTATGTAGAATTCTAGGCAAGGTAAATATTTTGAAATTCACATACATAAATCAATAGTTCCTCACCTAGCTAGAAGAGATTAGGAGAAATCAAGAGATGTAGGAAGAGATATAGCAAAGCTCTCACACAATCACTTCTTGTTTTGAAAAACAATCTCACACTACTGTATTGTATAACAGTGGGGCTTGAGCCCCCACCCAACCCACCTAGAATTCCTCTCCTCACAGGTGGAACAATGGCAACAGATTCCTCTCTGCTCTGAGTGACTCACCGAGCGATACGATCAGATGTGTTTACATTGCACAACCTTGGCCCAAACCATACCTCACGTTACTTTTCTAAAGCTAATCATGGAAATTGCTCTTAGTAAACCCTAAGCATCAACATCTCGGAGCAGTCCCTCCCTCCCTCCCTCCTTTCTAACCCAGAGGGCTAAGAGAGAGGAGAGGAAACAAATACAGAACTGTGAGAGACAGCACAGCAGCACACATAGCCTATAATGCATTTGTGATCCATTCCTGTGCTGAACAGGCAATGGAAACTTTGCGCAAATGTAAATCTGCTCGGTTAAAAATACAGCGCATTAATGTGCAACACATGTGGCACTCTGGCAGGATGGGGGATATTTTGATGGCGGGGGAAGAGGAGGGAGGAGGGAGTAGTCCTGAGGTTTCTCCAACCCAGTGGAGAGGGAGGGAGTTGGAGCACACACACACACACACTTGAGTAGACACATACACAAGCGCGAGCACACACACGCACGCACACACACACAACACACACACTTGTGTAGACACATGCACACATACACATGCACACTAACCCACACACATCTGCACTGCGTTAGCTCCTGCTCCGTCTCCAGCTCCTACCTTGGGCTTTCTCCACGAACACCACCTTGGAGTCGTACTGGAAGTTGTGTCCACTGAGGAGCATCCTCTCTCCCCCAGCAGCAGGGCATGTCTCTAAGGTCTGCTTATCCACCAGGGGCAGCTCCTGGGCTGATCTCTGGGCTGTAGGAGGGGGACAAACACTATCCTCACGACAGAGTCAATACAAACCCATTCCCCATGCAGCCCCGAGCATCCAGACTAAGTCATTTTCACAAGCTTGACAACTCTTAAAGAATCCTCACCCCTAGCAATGCCATGAGCCAATAGCTCTAGAGACATAGGGTTCCACTGACCTGAGGGTGAGGGCATGGATCCATTTAGTATTTGTTATTGTATCATTTTCTCAAATTATTGTTTTTACAAATAATTTATTGCCATCATTATCATACTTGGCCATCACCTCTTGGTTAACTTCAACCGCCTTGAAGTGTGTGATATTCCTTAATAAAACTCTAATGTTTGCAAATGAAAAATAAATCTGGCAAAGAATCTTTCCGACAATTAATCTCGACATTAGAAAAAAAGAGGCTCAGTCAATAACAGTTTTGTGGCAGTATATCAGCGACCGACAATGGTCTATTCTTAAGAGCTGAGATCATGGTTTAACCACATTTCTCATTTACCTCATAGCACTTGATCTCGGTGGTGTGATTCTCAGCCAGAAACCCATGAGATTACCAGATTTATATCTAGTTCTTTATAAGGTCAATGGTGCTTATCTACCAAAGTCAAAATAATCTGCCATGTTAACCCCCCCCCCCCCAGTATAAGATATTGCACAGTTCACATGAAAGACTCTTCGTAGCATGGCTGTCAGCCCAAAAGTGCAATCATACATTTTAAAGCAGGCTGATAGTGAAGGTGTACTCACAGCATTCTATGGGGTTGGATGCAGCCTGCAGGGACAATGTCCTTCCTGTGGGCTGGTTGAAGTGAACCCGGAACACCATCCTCACACGTGTGTTCTTACGCCCGATGTCCGTCTCACCCTTCCGCAGCTCGATATCCGAGTTGCGAAGTTTCAGGATGCCGGCGCAGTCAATTCTACATTAAACAGATAGAAAATAAACTGAGTTAGACCTTAGAGAGGCTCATAGCTATCACCACGTTAGATAGATCCCATTATTATTGAAATCCCAAATCATTATCCCTGTGACAGTTACCACATACAGTAAATATCAACACTCAGCTAATTAAGGTATGGTTTAAGAGTGTCTCTCTAGCACCACAAAGGGATTTCACTGTAGAATAGATCAATAGTCATCAGGCAACACTATTTCAGCAGAAGATTATCATTCCGTATACTGTGTACTCAGCAACCACTGCTTTCAGGTCAAATCCCAACCCTCCAGCAACCCAAACGCTGTGAATGTTAATAGTTTCATTAATAGCTTTTAATGGACCAAAATAGAACACCCATGGGATGCTGGTCCAACCTTGGTCCCTCTACGGCTCTCCCAGCCAACCTATTGGCTGTAATTATGCTTTTTACACAGTCTCCGAGCCTTCATCAGACACTTTATAAATACCCCTCCCTCCCTCGTGTTTATGCTGTGCACTCACTTCTAAAATTTCAGACTTTCATGGCGTTAGCCTTTCCAAACAAATTTGTGTTTTTCCATGGCAGTGCTCCTCAACTCTACATTCCTTATAATGTAGTTCATGTCAACTTTTACACTAACTGAACACTCCCGAACATTCTTTGCTGCTTCGCTGGTGAGGCAATCAGGTGTTGAGGCTAAGGACCCCAGCTGTTCAGCTCTCCCTCCGCCTACAGCCAGACAGCTTGGGGTGTGATGAGTGAACAAAGCACAGGCTGAGGCTACTGAAGCGTCACTATTCAACGCCTGAAAAGAAGGTTGTGTCCCAAATGGCACCTATACCCTATATAGTGCACTACTTTTGACCAGCGCCTATGGGGAATAGGGTGCCATTTGGGACACAACAAAGTCTCAGTCAACTGTGCCAAGGGTTCAACTCATTGCCAATCTCAGGAGGAAAAACCTTTCTCCATTGAACCCTATGCAACCCATGTAAGAGTGTTTGGCTTTTGGAGTGTAGTCGGTCATTGGTAACAAAAGCATTGAATTAATTGATCTCTAACCAAGTCAAATTAAGTCGTCAGCATTGGTGCCCAAATAATACTGAAAGACTTGTCACGTGTTCAAGTTGATTAATACTTTACCATAATTTATGACATGCTATTACTGGTAACTTCCCAGATCACGATGAATTAATGCTTGTGATATATTATTTTACTTGTACAAAATATACAAAGTCACATGGGAATGCATGGGAATGTTTAACCCCAAGAATGCCCTTGCTTATACAAACATCACTTTAAGGTGTGTTCTCCAGAAAGACTACTGAAAATGGTTCTATAACATACGTTTAAGTGTTGAGTCTAGCAGGCTGCTACCGCCTGGAGCCTAGACAGACCCCAGTTTCATGTTAACGGCTTTGAGGTTCCCCCTGTAATATGAGCTCCAGGGCTTATTATACCATGCAATGGGAAACCAATCCATCTGTACAGAGGGGTGATCCAGTCCACACAAACACAAACACACACACAGACAGACGCACTCAAGCTGGTGCTGATCAGCCGTCATGGACATAACTCTACAGATGTTCACTCATCATTTGAGTTGCTTGAGGAGGAGCATAAATGTCTGACTGACTGATTTGGCACAACAAAAAGACAGACACAGAGACGAATACACACACACAATACTCACATGGCACGCATGTTGTTCTCGGGCAGCAGTGGAATCTCCAGCACCTTGGTGTTGGACTGCAGTGCCTCATGGCTGGGAGTGGAGACGGTCTTGCCGGTGATGCGGTGGACCTGGTAGAAGGCATGGGGCCGCAGGAGACGGTCGTCTGCCGTACCAATGAACAGCTGCAGGGTCAGGGGCTCACTCTCCATGTAGCCGTGGAGCTGGAGGGAAAAGACAGAGATTACATTCCATTAAATGTAATTCAATTAATAACTTATTGCCAATCAACAATGGCTAATAGGAATTTGTTTGACAATGTTAATAGATAAGAAACAACTTATGTCTAGTCAAAAACAAAGTATCCCCCCACACACTCAACTCCTGACAACGTGTTAAAAACCTCAGGGATACCTTTCAAACACAGTTACCATTTTTCTCCTCACTCTTTCTTTATCCAAGGCCAACAACCCATACACATCTTTCCTCCATTCATGTCAGTCCCTGTCAGTACTGATGGGCTGCGATACAGCATGAAATTACAGAAGCTCCATCCCCAGCGTTCCGCTGGCTGCCCAAGAGCCAGTTAACCATCTGAGACAAACGGCCCTGTGATTTCACAGGGTAGTTTACCCTGCTGACAGGACTAAGCCTGGGTTATAGTGAACTAAAGGTTATGGCCGCGTCCCAAATGGCATCCTATTCCCTACATAGTACACTTCTTTTGACCAGAGCCCTATGGACTCTAGTCAACAGTAGTGCAGTGGGCCCTGGTCAAAAATAGTGCACTATATAGAGAATAGGGGGCCATTTGGGACGTAATCCATGTCGCTTACACATTGCTCTCATTGATCAAGGTCAGGGATACATTTTTGTAGCGGTGGACGGAGTTAACTTTTTATCAGCGAGACGATCACAGAATTATTTAATTGAACAGGATTCAGAACGGCTGCAGTCCAAAACGGTTCTTAAAGAATCCCAGACCTCCATAGGTGTTGCTTGACAGCCACCCAGAAAGCCGAGCGACGGCATGGAGCCTAAAACCCACTCTGAAACCTGATAGTAGAGACTACCACCGACACAGAGTGTGGCGCTATGTATGTTATCTGTACGCTATGACAGTGGAGGCATTAGCAGAAAAAACTTGGCATGGGGGGTCAGACTGACATAGTAAAAAAAAAGAAGGAAAGGCAGCAAAGCCATTGAGTGACTGTAGTCTACTTTCCGCATGAACTTAAAAAGGAGTTACCATAATTTGTATTTGTATTTATTTAAACAGGGAATCCTACTGAGATCAAGACCTATTTTTCAAGAGCACTCTGTACACAATCATTCTATGCAATAAAAACATACAATATTTACAAGCAATTTAAGAGGGGTAAGCCAATCTAAATTAAAATCCCCCAAAACGACTAATTCAGATGACATAACAGGTTGTAACATATTTTGGCTTATGGCCACATCTATAACCAAAAACTATTTTTGGGGGGGGATAGTGATATTTAGAGTAGATGATTTCACATATATAGCCACCCCTCCCCCCTTTTTCAGTCTGTCACACCTGAAGATGTTGTAATCAGCAATGTCAATGTTCTTATTTGGGATCGAGTCATTTAGCCAAGTCTCTGTGAGAACCAAAATATCTGGGCTCGTGTCATGCACCCAGATATCGAGAAGGTCCATCTTTGACATCAAACTTTGCACGCTGATATGTAACAGCCCAAGCCCTCTACGCATTTTGAAATCCATATTTATGGTATTTGAAGTATGAGCACTGGACGAGTTTACCACAGTGGGCTTCCCAATTGGGCGAACAGTAACAGAGCTAACAGTGGAATTCAATTTTATGGTCACAAGATTATTACTGACAATACCCCTGGGAATATGGTTATCTGTAGCAGTACGATGATAACACTGTGAAATAGTGGGAATAGAAGATTACTTTTGCCCCTTTCCTATTTGGATGCAAGCCATCCCTCTTGTAAAACTGGGGTTCTCCCAAAAGTAGTCCAAATTGTCAATGTACTCCAAATCCATTGAGGAACAGTAGGATTTAAGCCAGTAGTGTAGCCAGAGGAGACGACTAAAGTGTTCCATTCCGTGACCTATTGTTGGTAGAGGCCCGGAAATGAAAAAACGCTTCTCTGTCTCCTTTAGCCTGTCTGTAAGCCTTCTAAAGTAATCTTCAAATTGCTTTGATTTGTGAAGATTGATGTTGTTTGTACCAACATGAATGACTACACTGTGTAAGCATTTGGGTGCTTCTCCATCACAGTGGGGACCTGTTGATGAATGTCACGAGCATGGGCTCCAGGGAAGCAGTGGGCCCTAGCTTCCGCGGCTACCACATCCCTAACTATGGAGCTCCCTATAACAACCACCACTGGAGGACGAGGACAGGGTCGCTAACTAGGCTTAGGTTGGGAAAGCAGTAAGCATAACATGCCATTTAGAGGTAGATCCCTTTGAGGGTTAAGAGCCTGCAAAAGCTCTGTCTATTTATGTAAGGAAATGGGTTACTGCCTAGCAATGCTGTTTATTTAGGCTGTAGGGAGTGTGTGATGGAGTGAGAGGTACTGTAGCTTGTTTCAGCACAGGCAGTGCAGTCTCCCCTCCCTAGATCGTATTATCACCCACTAGAGGAATGTCAAGACTGGCCGCTCATGGCACCAGAGAGAGATAAAAAAAGGAGGGAGAGAGGGAAGAGGGCAACAGGGGCACCCTCTCTCTCTTTCTCTCCACCCCTCCAGCTGACTTCACAGTCTCGTCCTATCATGCTTTTGAAAATATGGTTCACATGACCTCCAATTTCGTTTTCTTGAACACATCAAAAAAATATATATGTAATTTAAAATAGCATGGTTACATGACGTTCATAGTTTGATCAAGAAAATCAACATTTAGCTAATCAAAAATGAATATATCAGTGGTTACATTTACAGTATTATCTTTCACCAGTTTTAGATATTTTCACTCACTTTATTTTACATCACTTAATGATTTTCGCCATAAAAGCCCCCACAGACTTGAGTATGGGGTATTCCCTCGGACCCAGCTATGAAAGCTAAGCCTAAAACCCAGGACATAACTGTAGTAAAGAGCGCACACAGTCCTTTAGGAGCGCATAACTCAGTCTGCCATCTGCATAATGGCGCGTGTGGTCTGCAGCAGCAGCAGCCGTGGCATTCAAAAAGAACAGAAAACACCAGGCTTAGCTGTGCTCGACATGGAGGGAACCAGAGCGGCTTCGAGAACAAACTCTGTACAGTTTGGGCAAGGTTTAACTCAGAGGAAGAGCCAGAGAGAAGGGCCAGTCAGCCAGTGTCCACAGCCTCACAACCCACAGTGTACCATGTAATCAGGAAGCTAGCGAGAGATTGAGTGGCCTTAAGCTCCTTCTAACATCTCCATCAGGCTGCCAGAAACGTGTGTGGTTTGAGCCCGGCCTGGCCTGGCCGCCTCCACAGGACACCACTATTGATGATGTCAGCATTACAGACGGGAACTTTCCTAAACAAAGGGAAGCCTGTGTGTTTGGTCGGAAGCTGGTGGAGGGAGGGAAGAGGAGGGGAGGGGAGGGAGGAGGAGGTTTTGAAAGAACACACTATTTCATGATGAAAGTAACCCAGACCCCATGTCATTAAATCATTAGCACCTAATCACAGAGAAAAACATGCTACCCAGTACAGATGTGCATTCTGGTGTTTAGACACACAGGATCATACAACATGCTTAGCTAGCTACGTTCTCAGGTTCCCATTCAGCCCCACTGTAGCCTTCCTGGTTAGAATCTCAGGGTGGTTGCAAACTTTGGGGTGTTACCACACAAGGATATGTGAGAAGTTCAACTGTCCAGATACTATTTATCACATGCAAACTTTTCCTGCTGAAACCTTTGATGGCTTACTTTCTCTTCTCAATGTAGACTCAGTGGTTTATTCAGAGGTTGAAGTCAAGTCAGTGATGTGGTACAATGATTGGGAAGACCGGCCTTGTAGTCCAAGAATTACTATTACTCAATACTTCTTCTGATTCGACCATCAAAGCTACTGTGGTTTAAGCTCATGACTAAGCTTTACTGGCCACAGTACCTCACTTTGCGACTGTCTGTCTGCACTTGAGACGTAATGGAAAAGTTTCAGTCACCCTCGTCTGGACAGGAACTGACTGAACGGACTGGTCTGTCTAATAGCATACCTATGGTATTTCATTCAGAACTATGGCGTCTTTCGAATAACATCAGTCGTGTAATGATAAAACACATACCCACTAATCTATTTAAGCGCTGGCGATATAAATAGGTTGGAAAGAAAGTGATCGGAGAAATACAGTGAGCTCCAAAAGTATTGGGACAGTGACAATTTTTGTTGTTGTTTTGGCTCTGTACTCCAGCACTTTGGATTTGAAATGATACAATGACTATGAGGTTAAGTGCAGACTATCAGCTTTAATTTGAGGGTATTTTCATCCATATCGGGTGAACTGTTTAGACATTACAGCACTCTTTGTACATAGTCCCCCCATTTTAGAGGACCAAAAGTATTGGGACAAATTCCCTTATATGTGTATTAAAGTAGTAAAAAGTTAAGTATTTGGTCCCATATTCATAACACGTAATGACTACATCAAGCTTGTGACTTTACACATTTATTGGATGCATTTGCTGTCTGTTTTGGTTGTGTTTCAGATAATTTGTGCCCAATAGAAATTAATTGTAAATAATGTATTGTGTCATTTTGGAGTCACATTTTTTGTAAATAAGAATAGAATATGTTTCTAAACACTTATACATTCATGTGGATGCTACCATGATTACGGATAATCCTGAATGTATCGTGGATAATGATGAGTGAGAAAGTTACAGATGCACAAATATCATACCCACCCCCAAAACAATGCTAACCTCCCTGTTATTGTAATGGTGAGAGGTTAGAATGTCTTGGGGGTATGATATTTGTGCTTCTGTAACTTTCTCCCTCATCATTATTCATGATTCATTCAGGATTATGCGTAATCATGGTAGCATCCACATTAATGTAGAAGTGTTTAGAAAGATATATTATTCTTATTTACAATAAAAGTGACTTCAAAATGACACAATACATTATTTACCATTAATTTCTATTGGGCACAAAATAATCTGAAACACAACCAAAACAAACAGCAAATGCACAAAAACATTTTTACTTTCCCAATACGTTTGGAGCTCACTGTAGGTCGGAGAAAGTGGTAAGCCGAGAAGTGATGGGGCTAATAGTATTACATCCAGACAAGTCTATATTAGAGTATGGTATGTGAGTATAAGGAGGATAGCAGACCTGCACCACAGGGTGTCCTCCTGCCAGAGCCTTGACTGGCCCTCTGCTCCCTTCGGTCTCGTAGTGGGCACGGTGGTGAGATTTGGGCTGCACCTCGATCTGCAGGCTGTACGGCCCCGAGCTGGATGGCAGCTGCCAGTCAAGGGCTGGCAGAGATGGGCTAAGGTGGAGAGAGTATATCTCAAGTTTGCAGTGTAACAAGATGCAACTGCAGATTGTCAATGCTTTGCTTGTATATTTCTGAGTCGATTATACTTTGACCTCAATAACTTTCAGTTGTTTGGAGCTGTCAACCTTACAATTAATATTATTTCAGTCAGTCAAAGTGTTGCTTCAGCTTACCTGACATATTGCTTTAGCTTGGACCATGAGTATGGGTGCGGTGGCACATCCAGTAATCCCCCACAGTAGTTCTCCTTCTTAAAGGGCAGGCGGGAGGAGGGGTACTCATCCTGACAGAGCTCCGCGGAGCTGAGCTCCTCTCCTCCAGGCTCTACCTTCAGGCTGACTGCCCCAGGCTCCAGGCTAGTCTTCCGGGCCTTTAGAGGGATGCCCTCCACCAGGTCTGCCACACCATCTGTGGTCAGAGCGTTGATGGCTGCAACTATGGCTGAGTTGGTGTACTGGTTGGTGTTGTTAGGCATCCAAGACTCACCTGTGATGCTGAGGCGTGGGGAGGTGTGAGGGGATGGCCCGGGGGAGTGGTTGGGGGAGTAGGGGTACTTGTAGGTTGCGGTTCCGTTGAAGCTGTATTTCCTCTTTCCACCACAAGGGGAGTTGGGCCTGGAGCCCTGCTGGCCCATCCAGCTGTCGTCCGTGACACTGGTGCTGGGGGAGGTGGAGGGGGAGTGACGGGGGGAGCCCGCATGGGCGCAAGCATCACCTGGAAGGGCGAGAGAGGAGGAGCCCCTAGGTGAGACGCAGGGCGACTGCCAAGGCGAGTTCTGGGGTGAATTTTCGTAGTTATAGGAGAAGCCTGACTCGTAGGACGAGGCCTCGGAGTGACAGCTGCGTGACGACACACTGCTGGCCGGGCTGAGGCAGCTGGGATCACGGTAGCCATCTGCGTTGGGCAACGTCAGGGTCACGATGGAGTTGACCCGTTTAGCCACAGGAAGGTTGTTGCTCTCTTCAACCTTGTCCTCAGGAAACTGCCCGTAGGCTGTGATCTCAATACGAGGGCTCTCGAGGGCTGGTGCCCCATTTGGACAGATGCTAGGGGACGAGTAGTAACCCACTGTCCTCATGTCGTTGTGGGCGCCGTAGCTGGGAGGCTGGCTGATGGAGACTGAGATGGTGGAACCAGACTGGAGACTGTGGTATTGGGAAGGCAGGCAGGGGTTGCCCTGGGAGAGACTGACATTGGGGGTGTGGCTGTATGCATCTGAAAAGCAAATACATGGAATGAGTTAGAATTATGGTCCATACACACTCTCATTGGCTCACACACAAACACATACTGCAGTTGCCAGTTAATTACAAAGAATGCTGCTGCGATGGTGTTGCTCATGATGGAGTGTAAACTGCATCTACACGCTGATCCAGAAAGTAAACATGTTCCTGTATCCAAATAAGAGCAAAACCAGAGAACTCAAAACGAAATGGGTTTCCCCAATCACAGAAATAAAACTACCACCAACACACAGTTCAACACACCAGCCCTGAAAGCCACAACCTTCACAAAATAACTAAGGTGAGATATATAAAAATAAGAGCCAAAAATAATTACACTCTAAAAATAACCAAAGCCATAATTTATTTATTTATTTTACCCTTATTTTACCAGGTAAGTTGACTGAGAACGCGTTCTCATTTACAGCAATGACCTGGAGAATAGTTACAGGGGGAGGAGGGGGGATGAATAAGCCAATTGGAAAGCAGATGTAGACTATAACTTTTTTCAAATTTCACATTGCCTCTGTGAGGAAAGAAAGTATTTGATCCCCTGCTGATTTTGTAAATTTGCCCACTGACAAAGACATGATCAGTCTATAATTTTAATGGTAGGTTTATTTGAACAGTGAGAGACAGAATAACAACCAAAAAATAAAAATAAACGCATGTCAAAAATGTTATAAATTGATTTGCATTTTAATGAGGGAAATAAGTATTTGACCCCTCTGCAAAACATGACTTTATACTTGGTGGCAAAACCCTTGTTGGCAATCACAGAGGTCAGACGTTTCTTGTAGTTGGCCACCAGGTTTGCACACATCTCAGGAGGGATTTTGTTCCACTCCTCTTTGCAGATCTTCTCCAAGTCAGTAAGGTTTCGAGCCTGACGTTTGGCAACTTGAACCTTCAGCTCCCTCCACAGATTTTCTATGGGATTAAGGTCTGGAGACTGTCTAGGCCACTCCAGGACCTTCATGTGCTTCTTCTTGAGCCACTCCTTTGTTGCCTTGGCCGTGAGTTTTGGGTCATTGTCATCTGGAATAGCCATATACGACCCATTTTCAATGCCCTGGCTGAGGGAAGGAGGTTCTCACCCAAGAACTGACGGTACATGGTCCCGTCCATCGTCCCTTTGATGCAGTGAAGTTGTCCTGTCCCCTTAGCAGAAAAACACCCCCAAAGCATAATGTTTCCACCTCCATGTTTGACGGTGGGGATGGTGATCTTGGGGTCATAGGCAGCATTCCTCCTCCTCCAAACACGGCGAGTTGAGTTGATACCAAAGAGCTCGATTTTGGTCTCATCTGACCACAACACTTTCACCCAGTTCTCCTCTGAATCATTCAGATGTTCATTGGCAAACTTCAGACGGGCCTGTATATGTGCTTTCTAGAGCAGGGGGACCTTGCGGGCGCTGCAGGATTTCAGTCCTTCACGGCATAGTGTGTTACCAATTGTTTTCTTGGTGACTATAGTACCAGCTGCCTTGAGATCATTGACAAGATCCTCCCGTGTATTTCTGGGCTGATTCCTCACCGTTCTCATGATCATTGCAACTCCACGAGGTGAGATCTTGCATGGAGCCCCAGGCCGAGGGAGATTGACAGTTCTTTTGTGTTTCTTCCATTTGCGAATAATCGCACCAACTGTTGTCACCTTCTCACCAAGCTGCTTGGCGATGGTCTTGTAGCCCATTCCAGCCTTGTGTAGGTCTACAATCTTGTCCCTGACATCCTTGGATAGCTCTTTGGTCTTGGCCATGGTGGAGAGTTTGGAATCTGATTGATTGATTGCTTCTGTGGACAGGTGTCTTTTATACAGGTAACAAACTGAAATTAGGAGCACTCCCTTTAAGAGTGTGCTCCCAATCTCAGCTCGTTTCCTGTATAAAAAGACACCTGGGAGCCAGAAATCTTTCTGATTGAGAGGGGTCAAATACTTATTTCCCTCATTAAAATGCAAATCAATTTATAACATTTTTGACATGCGTTTTTCTGGATTTTTGTTGTTGTTATTCTGTCTCCCACTGTTCAAATAACCCTACCATTAAAATTATAGACTGATCATTTCTTTGTCAGTGGGCAAACGTACAAAATCAGCAGGGGATCAAATACTTTTTTCCCTCACTGTACCACAGCAATCAAAACATTGAGGAACCAAATACTATACTTTTTGTTGGCTAGTTTACTTTCAAAAGCTATAGGAAAATGTATCACCTGTGTGTGCCACATGGCTAGTTTGCTTGCATGACTAAATGTGCAAGCTCTACCCAAAAGGGGAGCCTCATGATGCCAGCCAAGATGCCAGCTCCCCCACTGGGTATTTGTATTTGCATTTATTATGGATCCCCATTAGCTGCTGCCAAGGCATCTGCTCTTCCTGGGGTCCAGCAAAATTAAGGTTCATACAATTAAAAAAACATTACAATACATTCACAACACACTGTGTGCACTCAGGCCCCTACTCCACCACTACCACATCTCTACAGTACAAAAATCCATGTGTACGTGTGTGTATAGTGCGAATGTTATCGTGTGTGTGTATGCATGTGTCTGCGCCTATGTTTGTGTTGCTTCACAGTCCTCGCTGTTCCATAACGTGTTTTTGTATCTGTTTTTTAAATCTAATTTTACTACTTGCATCAGTTACTTGATGTGGAATAGAGTTCCATGTAGTCATGGCTCTATGTAGTACTGTGCGCCTCCCATAGTCTGTTCTCGACTCGGGGACTGTGAAGAGACCTCTGGTGGCATGTCTTGTGGGGTATGCATGGGTGACCGAGCTGTACGCCAGTAGCTCAAACAGACAGCTCGGTGCACCCAACATGTCAACACCTCTCATAAACACAAGTAGTGATGAAGTCAATCTCTCCTCCACTTTGAGCCAGGAGAGATCTACATGCATATTATTCATATTAGCTCTCTGTGTACATCCAAGGGCCAGCTGTGCTGCCCTGTTCTAAGCCAATTGCAATTTTCCAGGTAGCGGAATTACTTTTGCTTCCCTCCAAGCCTGGGGGCACACACATTCTAGTAGGCTTACATTGAAAATATGGCAAATAGGAGTGGCAATATCATCAGCTATTATCCTCAGTAATTTTCCACCCAAGTTGTTAGACGTATGAACCTTAATTTGGCTTGTCATTGTTGATAGACAACAATAATTTTTTCACCTCTTACGGAATTCAAAATTACAATGCTTGTCTTTCATAATTTGGTCAGATATACTTGGATGTGTAGTGTCAGCAATTGTTGCTGGCATGTCATGCCTAAGTTTGCTAATCTTGCCAATGAAAAAAATCTTTAAAGTTGTTGGCAATATCAGTTGGTTTTGTGATGAATGAGCCATCTGATTCAATGAATGATGGAGCTGAGTTTACCTTTTTTAAGGGCATAAGAGAAAGACTGACTACTCATGTGGCACAGACAGAGGAGAACGGGGGAAGGGGTGGTTAAGGGCAAAGGGATTTGAGTAATCTTACTACTGTCAGCTCTTAAGACTAGTCCAGTCTCAGACAGCATGCAGTCGCCAGAGCTCCTGTCTGCTGTGAATTAAGAGACTACTGGGGCAACCATAAAGACATGACATCAGTGCACCACCGCATGACTCCCACAACATAATCACAATGTAATAGCCTTAACATCACAGCATTGCAATGTCTTTATGCAAATTCTTGATGGATCGCATTGAAGATGCCACTTTACCAACGGGAACCACTGGTAGTTATGTGCATGCTCTCTGATTAAATTGTAGTAAATCTAGACTTGCACACTGAAACACTGTACATTTGGGGTAAATGTATCTTCAAATGGGGTGTGTTTACTCATGCAAGAAGATGCAGTGAGGCATGGATTACCAATTTGAGTAAACCTCTTGAATGTGAGCTTTGGTTCCACTACTGCCAACCCCACCACTCCTTATTCATAGGAGAGGCACCTCATAATATAATGTCGAGCTCATAATAAAGACCCATGTGTTTCAAGTTAATCATTCCTTATGGCAATCTCAACATATTTCTTATTTCAATACAAACAATGTTAGTAGGTACTTTAAATAAACATTTTGCTGAAACCAAATATTTATTTCAAAATGTAAGTAGCTACCATGAATATGATAACAATGACGTGGCCTATCAAAAATCATCTCATTATTCAGTATGCTTCATTACATTATCATACCTGTATAATAGGAGGCTATCTAAACAGAGAATAAACCCATTGACTGACACCTGAGGAGAAAATGTTGCCACTAGACAAGACAGGCAGCTATCCAATACGCAGAAGCATCTGTTCAAATGTCGATTGAATTACCGTTTATGAATGCTATATTACTCTTACACACAGTCTGACATTCAAACGTAACAGCAACAGCCTACTCACCCTCTTCAGCAGATTTCATTTTTTCTGTCATACAAGGTAACCGAACGTCTGAAATCGAACTTTGAAGACACCCGCAGGTCTGTGTTATCCAATATCCATAAAACAGCGCTTTCCCCTCCAGTGATGATGGTGATGCTCTCTCCCTATATTCTAACAAACCTCGAAACTATAACAAATGTCCTTAATGAGAAATAATAAAGAAATGTAAATTAATTAAAAAGCGACTCGAAGAAAAATACAAATCCTATCTGCAGAGTGAGAAACTTTTGGATACAATTGGATAGCGCAAAGAAATCAAAACCCTGTGTCGGGATTCAGTTTATGATTGAGAGTAAATATTATTTTAGTGCCTGATTTAAAATATTGGACTTGATTTTGTGAAAGGGAATCCTAGCTGATCTTGGTCTGTGTGACGCACTGCTTGGTTGCAGAGAGCTCCTCAGCATTATAAACCCGGGGATCACCTCCGGCGCGAGCCCACCGCCACTCGAACATTGACGCATCTCCACGTCTGACCAACCAACAGACGCGTTTAATTTAGATTCTCTCCACACTGGGGTTTCCAGCTGCTTTCAGACGTGGTTGATTAGTTGGGCTGGCAGTGTACAGTTGCAGTTCAGAGAGCGATGCGGGCTAGTGGAACATTTTATGCAATATTTAGATGTAAAGATAATGAGAAGAAAGATCAGATAGTGGATATGCCATTGTCCAGTACCACAGCTGCATCAGCTTTCAAAATCTTGTTGACCTTAAATCTATTTATGAATAAGCAGTAGCAGGAAATACATCCACATCAAATATATGCACCCTGTCCTTTCCTTATACTTGATTGTGTCCATGAGAGTATCATATACATATTTACAAGCTTGTCTATTGGGAGTGCTCTAAAAACAGTGTGCAGGATCAACATTAAACATTAATAGGGGGACACCCTTGTTAATATTTTCAATGCTTTTATTATTTTCACTCCCCCAGCTACCTTGGTCATTCGAAACCCTGCCTGCCGCTAGTCATAAATCATCCAGCATCGTTCCATCTCTTCCTTCTGGCATCATGGACAACGTCTGAGCAGTCATGGCTCATGGCATGACGGAGTGTGACATTCCATAGAAGGAATGTTCTTAATCAAGATTTATAAGCAGCTTAATCCTGGCTAATGTTTTACATTAAACCACTGCCATTTTCACCCCGATACAGACATTCATCACATAGCATAACAGCAAGCAGATGCTTGTCAGTTCAGTTAAATAGTTGCATTAAAGAGCACAAGCTTACTTTCTCCTGGAGGAAGGAATACAGAGCCATGACTACATGGAACTCTATCCCACATCAGGTAACTGATGCAAGCAGTAGAATCAGATTTTAAAAAACAGGTAAAAATACACCTTATGGAACAATGGGGACTGTGAAGAGACACACACAAGGGTATAGACACATGCATACGTACACATTGTGGAACTCTATTCCACATCAGGTAACTGATGCAAGCAGTAGAATCATATTTATAAAACAGGTAAAAATACACCTTATGGAACAACGGGGACTGTGAAGAGACACACACAAGGGTATAGACACATGCATACGTACACATTGTGATATTATTGTGTGGTGGTATTAAACATTTTGTATTGTAGATAGGTAGTGGTGTAATCATGTCATATAATGTACTGTTTTATATTTTGTTTTCTATGTAATGTAAATGCTTTAATATGTTTGGACCCCAGGAAGAGTAGCTGCTGCCTTGGCAGCAGCTAATGGGGATCCCTAATAAATACAAATACAGTATGAGGACCAGGTGATCTGAACCAAACATGCACGAGCTTAGCTTGGCTCTGATTTGAAGCTAGATAAATATGGGTGCTACTGCATCTTCAAACATCATACTGGATGACTTCCTTCTGATCTTCTAATGGATGTTGCTGAACTTGCAAGAGCAAATCATCACTTTCCCACTTCCTTTGACTGAACAACTAAATGCATGTCTGCTGGACAAGAAACCCATAATTATCTGTAGTTACAAACAGTATAAGGGACGTATAAAGTTAGTGCCATACCCATTAATTTGGCACTGGGAATTTTCTTAAACCTTTTTTCTTATTTCCATAGAGAAGTATCTATGGTGGTGTACAGTATACTTATCCAGTATAAGTCTCCTGAGTGGCGCAGTGGTCTAAGGCACTCCATCGCAGTGCTAGCTGTGCCACTAGAGATCCTGGTTCGAATCCAATTGTGCACCGCCCATGAGTCTCCCGGTCGCAGCCGGCCGGGGTAGGGTAGGGAATGGCCGGCAGGGATGTAGTTCAGTTGGTAGAGCATGGCGTTTGCAACGCCAGGGTTGTGGGTTCGTTTCCCACGGGGAATGTATTCACTAACTGTAAGTCGCTCTGGATAAGAGCGTCTACTAAAATGTAAAATGTTATCCAACCTCATAATTCAGTCAGCTATCTTTGGCTGGTCTGGACATCTCAGCGCTTTGGGCTGTCTATCACATTGTGACTCTCTAAGAGTCTACCCATCTCTGGAAGTGGGAATCTCTACAAATCAGCTACGTAATCAGCTGCTCCATACAATGTCTTCACACTGTCGATAGATAATGAAATTGGACAGGTGTCTCTCAGAACACATCACTGCTTGCCAACAACTTGATGGTTCTCCAATTTCATTATCTATCGACAGTGTGAAGACATTTACACCTCATTCAGATGTTGAAGTTGCACTTTTCAGAGTAGGTCATGATACTGGTACTTCACTCAAATTATTTCTCTACTCAACAATGCGCTGTGAACGCCAAATGTACACAAAGAAATGTTGGGTCAATAATGACCCAATTTGGGTCATTTCTGTGACCCAGCATTGCGTTATTTTCTCCCAGCACTGTTGGGTTACATGAATGACCCAACATGTTTGGTTACTTGATTTTCCCAAAAATGTGGTTATTTTGACCCAGCAGTGGGTTATTTGTTTTCACCTCTATTACAGAATCTGTTAATTTTTTAAAGGAACAAATAATTCTAACAATATCAAATCAATGTTAAGACATTACTACACAGTCTATAACATTCTTAAAATGACATATGACAAATTGTAGATAATTGTAGATTTTTTTCTGATATTAATTTCAGCTACAAAATGAAGTCACGCAAAATATAACAAATAAGGAACACACAAACAAACTTTAGAAGCACAATCCATAATTTGAAAATCACAGCAGCCCTACCAGTTAAAGCTGAGGAATGGGGCTGAAGAAAAGTAAACAAATTAATATGACATTTTGTTAAAAAAATAAAAATAAATAAATGAAACTGTCTTCTGCTCCAGAGCCTGATGGTGAATGCCAGGGAGTAGAGGCGATTGTCCCCGAGAGTCAGAACGAAGGGTTTGGGTCTCTTGTTCTTTTGGTCGCCTGGCAGAGATATTCAGCCATATTGGTTCCAACCTGAGGATTAGAGAATGATTAAAATGTTGAACAATAATCAAGACGCTCATCACACTCTTGCACAAGCCCATGCGTGCACACACAAATTGTGGCATTTCCTATTGTTCAGAACATGTTACACTCCTATACAGTCTATTGCTGTGTGTAGGATGTTAATATGCATTGAGTTGAGTCCAGCCACTTCGTGTGTGGTTTACAGCAGGGGTGGGAAGAGTAATGAAATATCCTACTCAAGTAAAAGTACTGTTACTTCAATGAAAATGTACTCAAGTAGAAGTAAAACTGCTCGTAAAAAAACTACTCAAGTAAAATAAGCTAATTTAAAAAGTGACTTTTAAAATAAAAACATTGAACTTGACAATTAGCAAATTTCACTAAGGTTTCCTGAACGTTGTTACACATGGTCGTTCTCATGGATTAAATTGAAAAAGGGAGAGGAAATTAATGTACAGTAGGAACTACGTTCATTTATTTTATGAGTTGCAACAAGACATCTGTATTAATATACTATTAACATTTGAAAATATATTAAACATTCAAAGAAATTACAATCAGTGGTAGAAAGAGTACTGAAATATCTTACTCAAGTAGAAGTACTGTTAGTTTAATGAACTTTTACACAAGTAGAAGTAAAATGACTGACTTTAAAGTACTTGGAAAAGCTAATAAATTACAGTAACGAGATAATTTGTAATTAGTTACTTCCCACCTCTGGTTTACAGTATTCAAAATTCCACATGTATACTTACGCTACAATATGACTTTCGGGCCTCAATGAGTGGGCAGGCTTCTTTCCAACTCCTTACACTGGTGGTGGGAGAAACACTCTCAGGAACACGTAATCTTTAGTATCTGGGGGACAAAGACATAACAAGGTGTTAGTGGACAGTCAAAATTGATAAACGTGGATGAACATTTGAGACAACTTTCATTTCAATATGTAGCTACCTGCACTCAGTACACTGGTGGTGGGGGAAACACTCTGGGCCATGCAGCCTCTAGTATCTGGGTGACAAAGACAAAGTTAACATAGTTTAAGTGGCGAGTCAAAATGTATAGCCTAAACTTGGATGAACAATTATCTAGCTAGCTACCTGATGTGAAACAATGCACCACACAGTAATGTTAACGTTAGGCTAACAGAAGACAAGCTTTCTACAGGCATTGAAATAGCTACCTAGCTAAACTTCAACAAAAAATGTTGCTACCACACGCAGCACAGGAAAATAGCTTGCTAGTTAGCTAGCCAGCAAAGTTGGCAAACTTTTGAGCTAGCATGCATGGGGTCGTTTGCAAGTTAACATTATCTAAAATTGTCAATGACTGAGATAATATGTAATTATGATAGCTAGGTTTATTTAACCTGAATGGATAATTTGTAATGTTAGCTTGCCTTTTGGTCAGCCACAACGCCTTGCCCATTTGTCAGTCAAAAGGTAATTCCACTCAGCGACTACTGAACTGTCTGGTAGACTTGCTACAGCTGCAACCAATCCTTATTTAGGACCTTGCCAGATAACTTTGATCTTCTAGATTTGGCGGGAGAATTAACCCACTGACTGGGTCATATCTCAATAACCCAA